ACTTTTTTTAAATGTGATAAAATATAGAATTTATCACTTTAACTATTTCTCCAGTCTGTATCTTTTCTCTCCTTTTTAAATTTTTTTTTGGGGGGGTACTGGAGATTGAACTTGGGCACTTGACCAATGAGCCACATCCCCAGCCCTATTTTTTTATTTTAAGACAGAGTCTCACTGAATTGCTTAGCCCCTTGCTTTTGCTGAGGCTGGCTTTGAACTTGCAATCCTCCTGTTTCAGCCTCCCGAGCTGCTAGGATAACAGGTATGCACACCAGGCTTCATTTTTTATTGTCAATGGACCTTTATTTTATTTATTTATTTATATGCGGCGCTGAGAATTGAACCCAGTGCTTCACACATGCTAGGCAAGTGCTCTACCACTGAGCCAACATCCCAGCCCCTTTCTTCTCCTTTTTAAGAGTCTCATTATGTTGCTTAGGCTGGCCTCAAACCACCTTCCTGTCAGTCTCTTGAGTAAGTGGAACTACTATACCTGGATCACTACACCTGGATCTACATGTATCTTAAGGTTAGCCAACAGTAAATGGTACAAAGCTTATCCACTACCGMAATCAAGCCTCCTAGTAACCTTTTCCAGACCAATGCATGCCGAAAAAAAAAATCAGTACACATGGACCTAGAGCAGGACTTGGTAAACTATAGCCTAAAGGACAAATCTAGCCCACTGCCTGCTTCTATATGGCCCACAAGCTAAGACTGGGTTTTACATTTTGAAAATAAAAATCAAAAGGTAATATTCTGTGATATATAAAAAATTATATGAAGGCAGACACAATGATACATGCCTGTGATCCCTGCTACTTGGGAGGCTGAGGCAGGAGGATCAGCAAGTTCAAAGCTAGCCTGGGCAACATAGGAAGACTGTGTCTCAAAGTAAAATATAAAAGGATGTTGGGGCTATCGCTCAATGGTAGAAAATCCATTGGTTTATTCCCCARTACTGAAAAAAAATACATAYACACACACATACATACACACACACACACACACACACACACACACACACACATATATTTAAATATATATAGTTTTATTGGAATACAATCAGGCCTGTTCATTTACATTCTGTTTATGGCTGCTTTTGCCCTACAAAGTCAAAGTTGGGTAACTGCAACAGAGACAGTATGTGGTCCAAACCCAAATACTTTACTGTCTTGCTGTTTACAAAAACGTTTGCCTACATCTGACCTAGAGCCTCAGGTGGCATTCCAAGCCCCAAAATTCTAAACTGAAGATGATATATCAAAATCCCTAATCTACCTGGGTGTGGTGGCACATGCCTATAATCCCAATGACTCAGGAGGCTGAGGCAGAAGTTTAGAAAATTTGAGGCCTGCCTGCATAATTTAGTGAGACCCTGTCTCAAAATAAAAAGGGAAAAGGGGCCTGGAGGTGTGGCTCAGTGGTGGAGCACTTGCCTGGCATGTATGAGGCACTGGGTTCAATCTTCAACATCCACATAAAAATAAATAAATAAAGTATTGTGTCCATCTACAACTTTAAAAAAAAGGAAAAAGGGCTAGTAATATGGCTTTGAGGTAGAGCACCCTGAGTTCAATTTCAGGTACAAAAAATAAAGTAAAATAAAATAAATCCAATCTGGAGATCAAGAAGCTACTTAAAGCAATCTATTCTACCTTAATCATTTATTACTTTTGGTCCAACTATACTGAACCATGAGTATATCAATAATATCTAGATTGAGTGGACCAACTCACTGTTGTTTGGCAATGAGCCTAAATGAAATGCTTTTTTGCTTTAAGATTTATAAAAGGGCTCATTTCATAGGTCAAACATGTAAGTTATCTAAGAACCAAAACAAATTTTCACAAAAGGGTCAGAGATCTCTGGTGTCAGGTCAAAATGGTGTATCTTAAAATACTTAGAGCACACAAGTAACTGATATGCATTTTTGCTCTGCTCCACTCTTTTTTTTTAAGTATTTGTGGGTTTTTTTAAAGATATTGATGGACCTTTTTATTTCATTCCTTTATATGCGGTGCTGAGAATTGAACCCAGTGCCTCACACATGCTAGGCAAGTGTTCTACCACTGAGCCACCACCCCAGCCCCTCTACTTCAGACACCATGTCGTGCAAAGGTAATTTTGTTAGCACTAATGAAGTCCTTGAGTGGGACCGGACTTTACAGAGAGTATGAAGCTTTCTCTGTTAAGTATCACAGGTTTTATGGCCAGACATACTGCAGGCCAGTTGAAGAGTTAGAGAGGAATGAACATCAATTACATACTTATAAAAGGTAATCTTAATCTAAGAGGAGCTCTGTTGATATAGACCTAATAGCTCCCAGGGTGGTAAAACACCCATGAAAGTGGTTTGCCTTAGGCAGTGTGCCTTATACAAAGAACTCAAGTAGCAAGATCACCAAAACTTATCACTCTCCATTAAATGTCAGTAAATTCCCAAGGGGAGCCCAGTACAAGAAGCCAATTGGTCCCCTGGTCTTGGCTGCCTTCCTCTTTTAGAGGACAGTCTAGATCCTACCATTAACCTCTAGTGTACTTCTTATAAGTGTGAAGGAAGAAAGAGAATCTCAAAGGAAGAATGGAGAGAAGGGAGATCATTTGGGGTTGCCTACACACTGTAATTAGAAGTAGCATTGATGGGGAATGAGCTAACTGTTTTTATAAAGTCAGCATTCAAAAATGCAAACCACCAGTAATTTAAATATTACAAAATTGTGCAGAATATAACTATTGGAATAATTTTTTCCATCCACAAAATTTTAGAGAAAATTACAGTATCACAAAATATGAAATGGCAGTCTTGGCATATCCTCAGTGTAAAACGTGTTTTTTATTGGAAAGGATTTAAAAAACTAGTGGGTAGGCTTTTGACGGGATGTGATGCTGAAGACTATGTGGTATATCTCTAAAACTGCTTCTGGAACTGGAGAGGAAAGGTCACAAAAGCACTCATGAATCAGAATGGTAAGAAACCAAGATGGTGAGATTCCGAATTGAAAACCTGGGCCTCTTATCACAACTTGTTTCACAATGGCATTTACTTGCCTTTACCCCAGACTCCTAATAAAAGCATAACAGGATTGGGGGTTTAAACTATGTAAGAGTTGCTTCATTTGACCTAGCAAAGCAAAGGTACCCAGGGAGATTTACCTTGCAACAAGCATAAGAGAATTGGCTCACTTTACACTTTCCAGAGCCATTATTCTGCCCTTTCCAGAAGAGGAACCAGTCTATTTCCACCCATACCTCTCTCTCTCTCTCTCTCTCTCTCTCTCTCTCTCTCTCTCTCTCTCTCTCTCTCGGACATTAATCCTGAACACACAGATGGCAAAGTGGAGCTAAGGGGTTACTAGGTTACAGTTATGTTGACATATCCTGGCTCTCAGAATGTCCCTCCCTCACTTCTCACATAAAGCAAACACTAGAAGTGATCAGATTGTTGAAGTCCCATAGAAAGCAGCAATCTCTCTGAAACCACTTACTGAGCCTCAGGTTTACAGCTCTGAGACCCTTGTACTGATCTAAAGACAAACTTTGCCTTTTACAGGATTCATAAGACAGGAAGCTCACAAGCATTCCCAGGGTAAATGAGGTGAACTGTGAAGCATTATAAAAAGTATTATTAAAATATGTTTATTGACTGCCATCTGTATGTGGGTGTTACCTACAGTATATCATTTAATCTTCACAATACCCTGCAAGGGAATTATCACCATTCACCCCCTTTACAAATGAGGAATGTAAGGCTCAGAAAACCAAAAGCATGGCCCAAAGTAACTACAGTAAGTGACAACACTAAGTCCTAGATTTTCAGTAATCCAAGTTGAGTAAACAAAGGAATTTGGAGTTATCTTCCACCAGCAAAATATTCTTTTTCAAATATCACAGCTTGAAATTTTGGATGAAGAACCAGAGACCGGTTTCCCTACTCAGGCAGACTGGTAATGAACTCTTCCCTTCCCTTTCACAAATGTCCTATACTCAACACCCAAACAACCTGCAGAGAAACATAATCGAGCCAGCCAACATCCTCCTGCCTTCTCAACTTGGAAAGGATTCTGCTACAAGGAAGGGTGTGTATGGAAGCTAAGCAAAGTCCCAGTTTCCGTCCTGATTCAGGCACCCACCTCAGGAAGACCTTGCCTTGGCTTGGGGAGCAGGTAACCTGTTTAAACTATAGGGTTACCCAAGAGTTGGACTCATCATTGCACACCCTTAGGAGAAGCACCCTAGGTTCTTTAGGGAGAAGTTTCCCATCGCTTTGTTTCTTCTTTTCTCTCACTGATCGAAGTCACCTGAGTCCTGGGGAAGTTCAAAGCGGGGCCCCAGGGGTGAAGGAGGCAGGGGACGTCCTGGTTGGGAACAGGGGATACTCCCGGGACCCGGACCTGCCTCTAGCAGGGCAGGTTAGTCAACGCGAAACCAGCTCTCTGAAGTTAGTGTCGCCTAAGCTGGGACAGCTGGGACACGAGCAGAGGAGCTCGGCGCCCGCTCCTCCCGCCTCCGCACCCGCTCCTGCATGGAGAGGCGCCGGGAGACACCGGTGTAGGCTGGAGGGGAGGAAAGGGGGACCAGGGAGCATCGTAGTGAGGCTCGGGGAGGGGATCCTGGCTCCGGGTAGTGTTCCTAAGGGTCCTGGGGAAGGGATGCAGAGCCTCGAGGAGGGGCAGCCGTCCCGGCCCGGGGACGTCGCCGAGACTTGGGGACTGGATCCCGAGCGCAGGATTAATCGTTGAAGGGATTGGGCAGCGGGTCCCAAGCTGCGAGGCAGAGGAAACGTCTCCTCCGGGGGCGTCACTGAGGAGCCTGGCGAAGGGGTCCGGGAGGCACTGAGGAGGAGAGGACGTCCGGGCCTGGGGGCGTCGCTGAGGAGCCTGGAGAAGTGCTCCCGGGAGGCACCCGCGAGGGAGAGAGTGGGCCCCACAGACCCGCAGGCCCGAGTCGCCCCTCGGGCGGGCTCCACACCGGGCAGATGCCGGGGGTCGCTCACTCACCGGGTCCAGAGCCGAAGCCGGGGCTGGGCGCGGGCCGGGCCGCCAGCGTGAGCGCGGCGGCGGAGAGCAGGGCGAGGCGGGCGGCGGGCGGCGCCATGGGCCGTCAGTGCGGGGCCCCGGGGCGCGGCCCGGGGGAGAGGGGGCAGCGCCGGGAGCCGGGGGCGGCCATGGGAGCCGGACGCGGGGCCCGAGTGTGGCCCCGCCCCGGCCGCCGGCTGCCCCGCCCCGGCCCGCCCTCCCCAGCGCCGCCACCGCCCCGGCCGCCCGGGGCCCGCCTGGCTCCGCGGCGAGGCCCGAGGGGCGGAGCTGACGGCGCACGCACGTCCCGCCCCGCGCCTGCCACTCACGTTCTGGGCCAAGCCCACCTCCCCTCACCTGGACCCGCCCCAYCGTGCAACCTGTTTGACCGACCAAGGGGTGGGGCCGGGAGGTGAGGGGCGGGGTCAGGGCCCCGCCTCTGAGTCCCCTAGCGGACGTTTGACCCGGCTGAAGCGGGTCGGGCGCTCTGTGATCCCTGCTCCACMCTCACTCGGGTCGTGACCCACGCGGGATCAACCACAGCGGTAATAATCAGAACGGCAGTTTGCAAACCTCTTTCTCCTGCCTGGCTTATCGTAGTGGTTAATAAAAGGGTGCTTTGGAGTTAGCCTGTGATGTTTGACTCAGTCACCTGTAAGATCTTGGACCGGCGTGAAGGAAATATAACTCTCATCTCAAAATTTCTTTTCTGTTTAATGGGAGTGATGATAAGCAACTACTCCCCAAAGCGATTGTACTAAATGAGATAATGCATGCAAACATTCATGCACGCCCAGTAGGGACTCGGTAAATGTGGAGTTTCTTTCTCYAAGTCAAGTCTAGCTACAAAGGAGGCGGCATCGTGAGCTCTTGTTCAGAATCTATCACGCACTATGTCAATTAGGGCAAGTTTCCTGACCTGAGCCTCTGCCATTTGCAAAATAGAAAGCAAGTAAATCGCCCAAAGCAGAGTCCAAAAGTGGATGGGACCGTGCTGCTTATTTTGCAGACTGAGACACTAGGGCACAGAGGGCTTGTGTTTTTCTTAAACTCTTAGCCCCTGCGTGGCAGGCCCTTTGCCCCCTAAGGTCTTCCCCAGCCGCACCCAGTTCGGTGGTAGGCCTGTTTCCTCCCCCGCACTCCCCCAGGCGAAGGGGATTTTCCTACCGCTCCCTCCTAAAATGCCACGGCGACGCCCCGTGGGACAGGTCCAGGCGGCGCGCCCGGCGCTTTCAAGTCCCTGGTCCCGGACTTGCAAGTGCAGACCTGCGCCCGGCGCGGCGGCGGGAACATTCATTCTCTTGTGCAGACTCGAAGCGCCCAGGGGCTGGGCGGTACCGGCCCCAAGGGATCCCGTACACCGGCCCCTGCTCCGGGTCGCCCACTCCTAGAAACCACGTTCCCCACAACAACCTCGGTCCCACACGCACACACCGCGCTCCCAAGGCTGGACCCCAAAGGCGCAGCTACCTCCCACGAGGCCTCTCAGCCAGTGTCCCTCTCCACCCACACGCTGCGGCAAGAAAAATCTTGTTCAGGTTTTTGTTTTCCCTGTCATTCCTAGTTCAAGAATCCTCTGGGCTCCTTATTGGAGTATGCGAACCCGCCCCACGCCCCAGACACACTCCATCCCAGGGACACATCCTCCACATCCCACSTGTCAGAGGAGAAAATAGGAAGAGGCACGTAAGAGGTAGAAACAAGGTTTATTTGGCCATCCGTGCCTCCTGATGGTACCTTTCGACTGCCCTTTCCCCTGGAGGAAGGCCCCCACTGCTGGGCTGGCACCGGCCCTCATCAGTGACTTGTCTTCCTCTCCTTTGGGTACAACTAGGACCAGCTATATGATTTGCATGGCTCCATGAGAAATTAAAATGCGGGGTCCTTTGTTCTAACTTTGGTGACAGCAGAGCATTAAAGCAMGCATAGAGCCCTTCCAAGCATAGAGCCTGTGTTGCGACAACCCATGAAATTGGTCCTGTGTCCAACAGAACTCAGAAAGTGTGCGAGCTCCTGCCCCCTCTGGCTGCTCTAAGAAGCGTCCCTCCAGCCTTCCCCACCCCCATCTTCTCTTTTCCAGTTTAAAAGCCCATCGCAGGTGATGGAAACAGTGCACAAGAGGCTAAAAATACAGCCGAGTGTGTCTAGGTCATGGCACTTAAGGGCTCAAGGTCTTTTGCTCAGTTATGTGGTCCCGGGAGCAGCCCGAGATATTCATTTCAATGCTTCACATGCCTGGGGTGTTTAGCAGCTTTATTTCATGGAAAGAGTGGGGACATTGACTGCAGGCTCTGGGCCACCAGGAGGATGTTGGTGTTGGTTTGTTTGTTTGCCTGTTTAGCTCTGCAGTCAGATCCTTTTCCTCCTCTGAAAGGAGCAGGATTTGCTAAGAACTGGAGACAAACTGGTGGAGTTTGGGTCAGTCTAGTGTCTTTGAAACCCCAGTTGTGGGATGTTTTCTGATGAAAGGACAGTTTTGCTTTGTTTTTGGAACCGAGAATTGAACCACTGAGCCACATCCCCGGCCATTTTTTTTTAATATTTATTTTTTAGTTTTAGGTGGACACAATGTCTTTATTTTTTATTTAATGTGGTGTCGAGGATTGAACCCAGCGCCCCATGCATGCCAGACAAGTGTGCTACTGCTTGAGCCACATCCCCAGCACCCCTAGCCATTTTTTTAAAATATTTTTTTAGTTGTTGATGGACCTTTATTTTAATCATTTATTTATATGCCRTGCTGAGAATCCAAGCCAGTGCCTCACACATGAGTGGCAAGCACTCTACCACAGCCACAGCCCCCCAGCCTTTTTTAAATATTTTATTTAGAGACAGGGTCTCACTAAGTTGCTTAGGGCCTCCCTAAGTTGCTGAGGCTGGCTTTGAACTCCTCCTGCTTCAGCCTCCCAAGCCACTGGGGTTACAGGCATGTGCCACCCTGACTGGCTAGGACAGTTGTTTTTACAGAGAGTACTAGTCAGGGGAATCCGGTTATAATGACAACAATACCAAACATATTTTACCAAGCACTGTACGGAGTGTTTATGGTCAAATTGCACAGAATCCCCCAGTAGGTTAATGAGGGAAGGGTCCTTGGCATCCAAACAAAGTTCACATGGTAGTGGGGCTGGGCTTTGAACCTAGGCAGAGAGGTCCCAGGTCTCTTTTTTTAAACACTATGGTAAAATGTCTCCCTGTCTCTACAGGAATGTCAACAGAGAGTGCTCCAGGACTGGGATTATGGTGAAACAAGGGAGATACGGACTCAAACTAAAAATTTAAGGAGACATAATAAAAAACACAGTAAAAAACACCTCAGTAGTCATGATAAATATTATTTAATAAATATTTACACATCTAATAAATTAATAAACAGCATTTTAATATAATATTTTTAAAAATACAAATACCAAGAAAATCCACAATGAAGCTGGGCCTGGTGATATATTCCTCTAGATCCACTGTTATGGAGGTTGAGAAGGGAGGATGGCTTGAATTTTGGAATTCAGGGGCTGGGCAGGCCCTGACAACATGCTGAGACCTCATCTCATTTAAAAAAAAAAATCCTTTGGATGTAGTGGCATAACCTGTAATTCTAGCAGCTCCGGAGGCTGAGACAGGAGGATCACAAGTTCCAAATTAGCTTGGGCGACTTAGTAAGACCCTGTCTCAAAAAAGAAAGAAAGAAGTATGGGGGTGTGGCTCAGTGGTAGAGCACCCTTGGATTCCGTCCTCATTACGGGGGGGGGGGGGATGAGCAGAACGATAACATTTTTAACATCTCCTTCCTTTTCTTCCCTTCCCTTTTCCTTCCTCTCCTCCTTCCTTCCTTCTTTCCCTCTTTCCTACCAGAGCTGGGGATGGAACGGCCCTCCCCTCACACAACCTAGGCAAGCACTCCACCACTGAACTACATTCCAAACCAATGTCAATACTTTCAATAAAGATAGGATCCATGGTCCCGATTTTCCTCTGGACTCTGGTTTGACTCAGCACAGAATACTTACTGATCCTTTGTCCCAGGTTTGGCTCAGGCATCTAGTGATGGAAAATTCCAGAGAAGCAGTCATTTTTTTTTCTTGTTGTTGTTCTGATGGAGATGAGGGAAGAGAAAGAATCTGGACTTAAACACAGTGACCCAGAGCTATCTGTGGAGCTTCCAGGTGAGTATGTTTGGGTTGGAAATGAAGAAATAGGACTCATCTACATCCTGGATCAGACAGGACCCGATCATCTCACATCCTTGGCCCACGATTGGTGCCTGTTCAGCACATGTGGTCTAAATCATTGGTCCTCGAGTTTGCATCATAGTTCAGGAATCTTTTCAAAATCTCTCTCCAAAGTTTTTCTCTCCTTTGCATCACAGACCTCAGATATACTCCCACATGGGTGTGGAAGTTTGCTTCTGGAGTGTTAATAAAAATATCTTCTGAGGAAAAGAGAAATTTGTGTGTGTGGGGGGAGGGCCATAAAGGGGAAAGACAAAAATTAATAAATGGAATCAATTTCTTCTTGATTAGCTGAGTCTCCAGAAACAGAATAAAAGCTAAGGGAAACTGAAGGAAGGAAAGAAAGAAGAAAGATTATAGGAGCTAAAAATATTATGAGAAAAGTTTGGCTAAGCATCAAAGACAGGCAGATGTGTTTCCCAATAGAAGCTCTGGTTTAGATATGTCAGGAACACAGCTCCAAAGGATGGGTGGAAAATAAGGTTATTTAGACTAAGCTCAACAGAATAAAATTTTAAAAGATTTAGAGGAGCATCAGATGGAGGAACAAGCCTTTCAGCAATATGGAAGCTCTGCCGCCTCAACCCCAAATTCTCTGGATCAAGTGTTGGCACTGAGGATGGAAATTTGCGCCACAGTTTTCAGGACCTTGGACCAAATAGTCTTTCCAGSCTGACTTTATAATTCTAAAGGGAACAATCTCTGTTAAAGCCTAGCTACTTTCCTTATCATATCCTCGGCTGCCTGCTTCCCTATCCATTTAATAAAACATGGACTGTTCTGGAAAACTTCTACAACCAGGCAGGGAATGTAGCTCCCATGCATACACCACTTCTGTGAGGTCAATCAAGTCCAATTCTAGTAGGATTTCATATTTGGTGAAGATGGATCATGAAGAAAGAGTTGCTATGATAKCCAAGCCAGGTCAAAACATTTCCTACATTCAATGGGCTTTTTGCTTGGCTTCATAAGCCCCATAGATGTATATAAATGACCAGATGTGAAGATCGTATCTAGCTAGGGGCTAGAGASTGTTAAATGAGCATATGGGCCACAGTATAAATATAATTATAAGAAAATTATTTATTTATTCTCTGTAGATGTGTTTTCCAATTTAATCTCCACCACCCCAAAGACAGAAAATGCAGTGATTTTTTTTTTCTTTTGCATCCTAGGGCAAGGACATTATTTATTGGGTACTGGCTAGGCACCGGAAGTCATGCCAAGTGCTTCCCATGGATCGTTCCACTCTGTTCTCACAGTAATTCTTGGGTAGGCACTATTACTATCCTCATTTCACAGAGAAGTACATGAAGGTTTAAAGATGTGGATTTACTTGCCTGTTGAAAATGGATCTGGGATGCCAGTTTGGGCAGAGRAGGGCTCATGACAAGAATAGGACTAAAACTGGGCCCAGGGGTGCGCTGACCAGAGGACACACCTCATGGCAGTGACTGGTTCAGAGGAAGGGCGGTGTAGAATTTGGTTGAGTTCAGTCTTTTTTGGTTACTAGTTATGGGACCTGGGGCATGGCCCTTTTTTTTTTTTTTTTTTTTTGTGGTTGGAGGTAGAACTCAGGGGCACTCAGCCACTGAGCCTCATCCCCAGCCCTATTTTGTATTTCATTTAGAGACAGGATCTCACTGAGTTGCTTTAGGGTCTTGCTAAGTTGCTGAGGCTAGCTTTGAGCTCGTGATCCTTCTGCCTCTGCCTCCTGAGCCGCTGGGATGACAGGCGTGTGCCACCACGCCCGGTTGGGGCATGGCTCTTGCTTCTTTTTTTTTCCTGGTGATGCTGGGGATTGAACCCAGGGGCTTTTATATGCAAGGCAAGCACTCTACCAACTGAGCTATATCCCCAGCCCTAGGGCATGGCTCTTGAGTAACTCAATTTCTTTGACTGTAATGTAGGGATGGCAAGAGGACCCATGCTCATGGTACTCTGGTGGCATTTCATGACTTGAAACACTCCTGGAACAGCACTTTGCCTTCAGTAAATGTTCAATTGATAACGAATTTTGTCAACATAGGAGAAATAGAACCCAGGTTGGTTATAAGGAAGGTGAAGGCTTCCTGATTGGGTACAGTCAATTGAAGTTACACTGAATAGACAGAAGGAGGGACTTACCAGATTTGAAGACACTGTGTCTGAAGCCACCTAGGTGAACAGCTCTGTGTAAAAAGAAGGAAGTTCAAAGTGCTGCGAGTCAGAGCTGTGTCCCTTGGTCATTGAGTAAGAGACCTAGGAAAGTAAATATGACCGACCAAGGAGTCGTGGGAAGGAGGAGGAGGTGCGGAAAAGCCAGATTCAAGACAGGAGAGAAGAGAAATAGAAAAGCTCTTCCAATTGTGCCTTTTTGGCTCCATGTTTGCCTTCTGTCCCTGCTGGGCACAACTGAATGCAGATGGTCATTTTCAGGAGACCCAAGAGCCTGGTGCCACCTCTTCAAGATTCCCCGGCTTTGAAAGGATGCTTGCCTGCCCAGTCTTCAGACATTCGCAAACCCTTCCCAAAGACAAACCCTTTCCAACGCCCTGCTCTAAAACTGACCCACCTCTTGGGAGGTGAGGCCAGGGCTCGCCACTGAATGGGCACCATTGTCCTCCCAAGTGTCTGTGGGTCCAGATGCTGTCGGCCTGGAGGTGGCTCCACCGCAGCCTACGGTGCGGTCTGCCTGTAAGGCTTTGATTCCCTCCAGGGACAACACTTCAAAAATTCAAACAGGCAACACATGCAATTCCAGGAGTCCCTGCCAGGCTCATACTCTGTTTTTCCATCATTTCACTCTCCTCCCCTTCGGGAGGGAGCCTCCTTTGGCATTTTGCGTATGAAAAATGAAAACCACCAACAGGGCCAACACCTGATAAGGAGCAAGGCATTGCCTAAGAGTTCCCAGGAAGAGGCGTCTTTGTTCTCCTTTCAAGCCCTTGACACTGCTAACAGCTCTAATTACTGCATTTGCCATGGGATGTAAAATAATACCACATTCCAGAAACCCTGTAGTCTCCGTGGGAGAGACACACAGGGAGAGGTGCCCAGGGCTGCAGGAACGTGTTCTCTCATTTCTGGTCCCTAATGTTGGCAGCTATTCTGAGAACTTAACAGTACCTTCTTTATGTGCATGGAGAAGGGCACTTTTGCACGTGTAAGGGTACATCCTCTCACTACCCATATCCACCAATCTGGTCTGCGTAGTTGACAACGCTTCATGCAGATCATGCTTCTGGAGAATGTAGGCTCTCCACCCAGGCCATTCTGGGGGGGAAATGAGGACTTCAGAAGTTCCTGAGGCTACGAGCAACAACAAAATGGAACTCCTTCCAATATAATTTAACTATAAAACCTGATGATGTAACACCCACCCACACCCACATCACAAACCAAAGTGACATCACAAATACTAAAGATAATGGCTCCAAACTGCCTACATCTAAGCCCAAGTCTAAACAGCAATTTGCCCCCACATGGCTGAGGCAGAGAAAGACAGGTGACTAGAAATATTCAAATAAAACAAAACAAAAAACAAAAGAGAAAAAAAAGAAAAAGAAAATACATGTTTCTTCCCCCTACTAAGCTAGCTAAAATAAAATTTAAGGCAACCGAAATATGGTAAGGTGATATTATTTATTAATTTATATTATTTTGGGGGTATTGGGGAATTGAACCCTGAGGTGCTCTACCGCTGAGCTACACCTCCAGTCCTTTTTATTTTTATTATTATTATTTTTTATTTTGAGGCAGGGTCTTGCTAAGTTGCCCAGGCTGGCCTTGAACTTTTGATCCTCCTCCTTCAGCAACCTGAGTCACTAGGATCATAGGCGTGCCCCACGGCACCCAGCTGATTTTATTTTCTTATAGATGACATTTCTTAGAAAGTCAGGGCTCTTGAAGAATGTGATTCTGACCTATCCAAATTGTTTTCTTGTTCTTGCCCAGTCCCCGGAAATGGAGGCAAGTATGAATTACACGGGCTTTTGCCTCTATGGATCCTAGAGTTTATTTTCCTCTTGAGCAGCTTTTCTTGGCTCATGGGAGCCTGGTTAAAAGGTGTCTTGGGGTTTGGCAGGACTCACCTGCTGTCAATTCTGTGTTGCGGTGTGGTTGTGAAGTGACTGCAGCTCCCATAGGTGTCCTGAGTCATTCCCTCCCATCCCAGTCCCTGAGTGATTCCCTCCCATCCCTTTCCTGCGTGGATTCCTTTCTTTCCAGCAGGACTAAAATCGTCTTCTTTTATAGTAAACCCTCCCCGACCCCCCAACCCCCAACTTTCTGCCCAGCATGCTATGTTCTTTAAGAGTCGTGACCTTGTAAAGTTCCTATCTCTACCCTACTTGGAAGAAGAAGAAGAAGAAAAGAAGAAGAAGGAGAAGAAGGAGAAGAAGAAGAAGGAGAAAAAGAAGGAGATGATTATTTCAGTGAGCAGGAGAGAGCCATATAACAAAATTTCTAAGATTCATGTGGAAGAAACGGTCCATAGAATGATGTTAATACTTAGCCTTCAAAGTATAAATCTAGTCTCTGATTGAGAATTAGTCTTCTTTTTGTTTTATTCCTTCTCACCCCCCCTTATAACTCTAGCACCCAATCAATGTGAGACGTGACCCCAGCATCCCCACCTATGGACTCCGACGGTCCATCTTACTGAACACCAGGCTTCAGGATTGCTATGTGGTTTCACCAGCCCTCACCAACATCTGGACTGCCAGAACATGTGCAAGGCAGAACATCAAGACCCCAGCACCAGGTACCACCTCTTGCTGGGAAGTGGTAAAGAACCCAATAATTGCCAGTTCGTTTTCTCTGGCTAAGCTTGTGCTCCGGAGGCAATTGAAGGATAAATGCTGTCCGGTACCTTCCAAGTTTGGAGAAGCGAAGCCACTGAAGAGATTAAAGCCCAGGAACAATTCAACAATGAAAGCCACGCAGCAGGCCAGGATAAGAAACTCCATCAGATCCAAGAATAAGCGGCCAGCAGGGCAGCTGCTGGGCTCACCTGGACGAGGACAGAGTCCTGCAGGAAGCATCGTCGAGGTAGACAATGGCCAGGAGTGGAGAAAGTGGGATGRGTGGGAAGAGGGAAATTCTAAAGTTGAAGACAGGATTGGGGAGGGAGGGTGCCCCGTGACAGAGTGGACAGAGAACTAGATCTAGGGTCATAGTATGTATTATTATTTTATTTTTTGTGGTGCTGGGGAGTGAACGCAGGGCCTTGTGCATGTGAGGCAAGCACTCTGCCAACTGAGCTGTACCCCCAGCCCAGTATATATTATTTGTATTCCACATCACTCCACAGAAAGATGAAGGGACCTTCATAAACACAGACAAAAGGAACTTGGAGGTGAAGGGAAAATAAGGGTGAGAAAGGCCAGGATCATGCAAGCTTAGGCACATGTATGTGCGAGGTGAGCTGTGAGCTTCCATATGGAGAACCTGGCAGCTAGAGGCTGATGGGAGCCAGCTCGGTCAATCCTTGGTGGCCAGTGGAGCTCAGAGCATGTCTTGGAGCTCAACTGTCAGGGTTCATATCCTAACTCTGACCATAATTGGGGATAACCTTGGGCTTAACCTCTTTTGTGTCTTGATTTTGTCATATAAAATGAGGGATAATGGCCTCTCCCTTACAGGGCTTCATGAAGATTAAATGAGTTAATACATGCAAAAGGCTTTTGAATAGCGCCTGGCACAGAGTAAATAATTAGGATCCTGCATAGCGTTCAATAGATGACAGCTGTGGTTATTAACCCTCCAACTGTGTGGCCTTGGGTAAACCAGTTCCAATTTCTCTGCCTTTAAAGCTGTCTCCTGCTGACCTTCCAGGGCTCCGGGGAACACATGCAGTGGTATATAAAGGGGTTCAGTAAGCTAGAACATGCTGGACAAATGTTGGTTGTTGCTGTAACCAAGACTCTGAGACATAAATCCCAGATAATTATTCTGAGCTCCCTTCTCAAGTTTTAGCTTTGACTTCTCTGCTTTCTTCCTGGCTAGAGCAAAGAAAGTTCAAAGGAGAAAAAAGTAACAGTCCGCCAAGATCTTGAAGATAGATATGTGGAACGCGTGGCCGCCACCCAAGCACTATCCTGGGACAGAGGGACCGCAGCCTGGAAGGGCCGAGCATTGCCTCCTGAAACCCCAATGAGACAGCAGGTGCTGGGGGACTCGCTAACAATCCATGGTCTCCCCACAGAGTGTTACCGGGCTCTGTACCATGCCGTGGTGGAGCCGATGCTGTGGAATCCTTCAGGAACCCCCAAGAGATATAGCTTGGAGCTGGGCAAGGCCATTAAACAAAAACTTTGGGAAGCTCTGTGCAGTCAGGCCACCACCCTTGAAGGTGCTCAGAAGGACCCACTGTCTGGTAGGAAGTGGCTGGTGTCCATGAGCCTATGCCCAAGAAATGGCCCAAGTTAAAGAGTGAAAAATAAAAATAGGAACTCATGGGAATAGGATATTCTCTGCTAGATGTCTGAAAAATAAACACTACTTTGCACCTTCTACATAATCTCAAAGAGTGCTTTACAAATTAGTGACTGTGAAACAAGACAAACAATCCCCTCTACACTCATGGGTAGGTAATTTATTTGTGTATGTTGTTCACTTAGTTACCCGGCTGGGATACAGGTGTGACACCCTGCATCCAGCACATGGTTATTTAATTTTGAGGGCTAGTGTTTGGAGGTTTTTTTGTACATAGGAAAAGCCCTGCATAGGAAGCCAATGGCTGAGGTCCCAAATTTTTAAAAAGTGGACTGTTAAGCTCTTTGTCTCCCTCCACACATCCTGAGCAGAAAGCCTACCACCACCTCAAGGAAATAAACCCACAGTCAGTCCCTAGCAGATGACCGTTTGTGACATTGCAGAAATGCCCTGTAACCTGGACTCCATGTTAACAGGAGAGGAAATCACATGGATGCTTCCACCGGCAAGCTGATGCAAAGCTCATGCAAAGCTCTTTGTAGGTKCTGAAGACCTTAGCCAAACAGCAACGACAACATATAAGACACATACTTGATAAAATTGTATTTTTTTTTACAGTCATTTGTACAATTTGTTACAAAACCATAGACAACTATGACTTGTTTTAAATCATTTTTGGTCTGCAAATATGTAAAATCTGTGTGCAATTATCATGTATTTACAGGGCCTTGTGTTAGTCATTTTCAATGATTATTCCAACAATGTCACACTCTCATCATAAGACATGGCTTAAGATAAATATATTAGTAAATAAATATTCTGAGAACATATTTCCATAAATGAAATGTGCTGCTATACATATACAGAATATACATAAGTTGTTTTCTAGCTTTTAAAACATTTTTTAAAAAAAATGGTAATGTTGGAAAAAGAGCCCTTAGACCATTTTATTACAAAATCTTTACAGCAAAGTTTTTACAAAATATCTTTTAAGTGCTATGGGAGAAATTAAAACAAAACTTTTTAAAATAGTGCCTTGTTAGACCAACACAATAGAATTTATATATAAAGAATAGAAAAAGGCAGTTCTGTTTAAAAGACAATGCTCTTGATTAGTAATTCATTTTTAGACCTCATTAAAAAAGCATTAGCCCTGCCTGAATGTGAAGGAGGGACAAGGAGCACATAGGGAAGATCTGAGCAGTAAAACAGGGTGAACTTAGGAAAATGGTGGGGGCCTCGGGTGGGGGAGGGGCTGAGTTAAACTAGCTTACTGGACCTGTGTCCACAAAGAGGTACCTCATTGGTCAGAACATCCAAACATCCATTTTCAGCTGGTTCTAGAACTCTTCAGTTTATATGGCTGTCCTACACCCAGGGCCGGGCCATAAGACCACACTCACTCCCTGACTCGGGGGATGTGGGGTTCTCAGTGTAAAGTGGGATGCTCCGTTTCCGTGGTTAAACCACCACCATGCCACTGAGAGTCCACGGAAAAAGGTACCTGTCACGATTACTGGAGTCTTAGAGCTTCAAAGAAGACATTTCTTTTGATTTAATGGTGACACAGATAGTTGTTAATTTATTCTGGTGACCTCCCTGTCTGGTGAGCCAATACAAATTCAAAAGATGGTGGTTGACATTTTAAGTTTTTAAATTTTCATTTTTGCTTCTACTACAACAATTAAATATCCTTCTTTTGTCATCTGCAGCTATCACTCTTTCAAAACGAAATTGGATGCACATAACAAATCCAGTGGCAGCCAGATTCTGTATTCCATCTATTTAATGCTTAAGGCTTTTGAGGAGTGGTTTCTAGCCAGGACTAAAGAAAGCTGCTTTGGGGGTATGGTTTCAGACAAGGAAGATAATATGCTTCAAAGGCATTAAAAACAAGAAAGCAAAACCACAAACAACAAAAATCTCAACAATGAGAAGCTGCTTTCTGCAGTTCATGTTAAAAGCCATACACCCCCCTTCCCTAAACCATGTAATGCAAGCTGTTGTCCTGAGCAGCTGCTACTCCTGGCCCCAGAAATAAAGGCAGCCCTGATCTCATGTCAACAGCTTAGGCGCTTCTCACACTCTCGCCAACAGGTGTGCTGGGACAGCTTGCGGGGAGCCACCCCCAAGGGACCATACCCCAGAGGCTGGAGGACAAATCTCTCCACAGTGAGTTCCTAAATGGCAAATGGCTCCACCCTTTGATGCTGGGATCAGTGTCAAATCCTAGCTAGAAATAAGTACATTTCCTGATCATAGACTGGGGTTTTAAAGAAAAAAGGATTATATAAAGATATCTCATTGAAAACGTTCCAGTCTGTACTCTGGGTTGACTTCCTGTGAGCCGACTGAGTGGTAATAAGGGTTTCCTTGCAACCTAGGGTGGTCCCTATTTCCCCTACAGGAGGCCAGAGCTCAAGGTTCCTATGCTGCAATGAACATTTAGACCAAACAGATAAAACTTTAAATGGCAACAAGTATCTGCTAAATGAATAAAAGTGACCAGAAATTACTTCACATGAAGGCTAATGTGATTAGTTGCTTTTTTTTTTTTTTAAAGGACAACAAGGACTACATTGGACAAAAAGGATGACAATCCCTGATCTGAAGTAGTTTTAAATATTCTCTCCCTTTTAAAAATGAAACATCTTAAAAAAAAAAAAAAGAAAAAGAAACAAGTTTGGGTTCTTAAAACTCTCCCTCCCCCTTTTAAAAAAACAAACAAAAGGCTGGAAAAATATACAAAACCCTACCCTTTGGGGTCTAAACTATCTGATAGTCTCTCTGTCTCATGGAGAATCAATACATAATAGTGCATTAGGTAGACAGGGTAGTAGACATTTACAGGCGAGATGAGCAATTTCAGCCACTAGGCAGAGGGCTGAAAAACCCTGAAGCAGTGCTTCCGTGGGGGGAAATGGAATAGGAAAAGCATCATTCGAATGGAGCTCAGTGCACACCCTGAGGGGTCTGAGAACTTGCCCCCAGGAAGGCAGTCCAAGGAAGCAGCAGTCAAGGGGCATGGGCGCCCTCACAAACGTGCAAGTGCACAGGCTTGCTCCAGCGTGCCCATCCCTTCTCCAAAGGGTAGTGTGCTGCTGGGAGAGCGCAGAGCACTCCTCCCAGCCCCATAGGACACCAAGGCCACAAAACTACATTCCTCCTGGGTGTCTGCCCCATACACCCTGCTGAACCACTTCTGCAGCCAGTGGCAGGAAGCACAAAATATTTTTCCAAAGGATTCCAAAGTCAGGATCACAGAAGGGAGAGCTTCCTCTTCCCTGCCCCAGGGCTGAGAGTTCGTGTACAAGACTACATGAACACTGCCCTTATTATAATCTGGACCTCTGTCAAGACCAGGACCAGGAACTTTTTGCTTGGGATAATGACCCAAAGRGACCGACTGAGGATACTGGGCAGAATTGTCCCTTTCACCCTGGGGCTTCTATAGCAATGGCTCGACTCAGCTCTCCAGTGCTGCTGAACTCCTGGCCATTTCCATCCTCTGCCTACAGGTGTGGGCTGGGGAGGCGTGGCTTCGGAGAGGACCTGACATTTTTTATGTTCAGATTTGCCACAAGAAAGAAAGGCAGCTTTGCATTGTTCCTCAGAGTTTGTACCCATATCAACTAGCTTTACTTCAAGTTTCTGGTTCATTTTCTAAGGCAGGTGTAGCCCTGAGCTTTTCAAAGGCCTGAGCTCCCTCAGGGGAGACAACAGTATCTACACATGATGTGGTTCATTTAATGCAGCAGTGATTTTTTTTCTTTTTCAGCAAAAGTTGGCAGCTAGGGTTCTTTAAAATATATATTTAAATAACTTTTTACATTTACATATAATATTAAAAAAAAAACAGAGAACTCAATCCCACACACCTTGGAACCCCAAGCACACACTCTACAAAACAAAAAATAACATGTTATCAAAAGACACAAAGGATTCAGAATTTTGTCTGTTGGTTTGCTAATGAGGGTGGGGGGGCAGTGGGGGAGTTGCCACAGGTGGCTCACATTTTGGGTTGAGAAAGAGGGCTCTCTTTATTACCACTTTTGTGTTTGTCAAAGCTAAAAAAAAATTTGTTTCTTGTTTTTGTTTTGAAGGAAGTCAGAGTTTGGAGTCTCCATAAATTTCCCAATTTCCAGATAAGAGTTCCTTCTGAGCTCAGGCTCCTGGGCTGCTGCTGTCTGGTGGGTGAGATCCCAGTCCTAGGAGAGAGAAGGAGAACACTCATTAAGGGAGGGAGGTGGCACTGCAGGCTTTGGAACATGCATAGGGAACAGGAGAGGGACCCCAGGTACCCTGTCCTTTGTGATGGGCAGGCTCTTAGGAAGTGACAGTTCTGTCACACCGACTGTGTGCATGGTAACCACTGAAGCACAGCTCCTTTTCTGAGAGGAGCTCAGTGTATGCTAAGACCACCCCCCCACCCCACCCCCGCCGCATGTTTTCCTCATCCCAGAGCCTTCTGGAAGCCCTTAGATAGCATGAAAACACAATGTACAAAGTGATGTTAACTGATTGCTGGGTGTAGGCCCTGGGAAGAACAGGGAGGAAGAGCACCTCACAAGCTTGCAGACCTTCCCACAAAGTAACCTTGGCTTGAGATGACTTAGGAAGTAAGCAGATGGTTCAAGAGTGACCCAGAAGGGGCTGGAGGGTCACCGGGCTGAGATCTGAAGAGGTCTGGAGGCAGAAATGAGCTTGGCTGGGACAGGCCACAGCGGGGTAGAGCAGAGAGCAAGGAGAATAGAACAGACAATGGYGGATGGGTCAGCAGGAGCCAAATCACAGACAACTGGGGGAGCAGTTTACATTTTTAAGATTCTAAAGGTAATGGCAAGTCACTAAAGGTCTTTCTAAAGACATCAACTAATGTTTCAAAAAAGAATATTCTGGGGCTGGGGTTATGGCTCAGTGGTAGAGTGCTTGCCTAACATGTGTGAGGCCCTGGGTTGATTCTCAGCACCACATATGAACAAACAAATAAAGGCCCATCAATAACTAATTAAAAAAAAAAAAAGATATTCTGCCTCCGAAGAGGAATAGAAGGCCAGGCCAGTTATAGAACACCCATCAGAAGGCCACTGCACACTCCGGAGAAAGGAACACAGCTGGACAGAGGGGGCAGCAGTGAGGGATGCAGAGAAGATGCCGAATCCAAGATGCACTCTGGGGTGAATGCTTCTGTGGATGTAACAGGCTGGGATGCTTATGAAGCATTTGGGGGAAGAGAGGACAACATCATAGAAACAGAGGGCTCAGGGGATCTAGAACTCCGGAGGTCGGGTAGACACTGGAATGACGTTTGGAAGTCATCAGGTGCAGGATGTTTAAAGCCAAGGGCTCAGAGGAAGTCCCTCAGAAGAGGATGGAGAAGAGACGCCATGGAAATGCCTGCCCTGGCCTACTGCTGTCTTCTGCTCTCACCTGCAGCCTCAGTGGCTAGGGTGTTGGACCCCTGAGTGTCCTGGTGGGCAACAGGGAGGCCGACCCTGGTGGCACCTGCCTCCTCTGAAGGGCAGCCAGGCTGTAGCAGTACCTCAGCCTGGTGGCATGGAACCCGCTCCTCTTCCCTGGCTGTTGCCAGGCTTCTGTGGGGCCGCTGGGCATCTAGGCCCAGTGTCCCACTCCAGGGGCTGAGGCTGTGGGTCCCTTGGCAGTCTGGGGACAGGCCCAAGTCACAGTCCATGTCCTCCGGAATGATGGGGATGCGCTGGCTCAGGTCCCGGGCCCCTGGGGAGCAGCTGGGTGGGGGCTCCTCGGCGAGTGTGTACTGCACACTCACTGAGTAGTCCTCAGTGTAGCAGCCACTACCCCCGCCACCACTGTGGGCCACCTGCTTCTCTTCATAGAAGCAGCAGGGCAGGCCCTCATATTTCACCCCATCTGTCCTGGGCAAATGGTCTGGGTGGAGGCCATACAGGCCGAGGGAGCCTCTGGTCTGTGGCTCCCCACCCACAGGGCCACAGCCCTCAAGGAGCAGAGCACCCAGGAGCAAGGTGCTGCCACCTCCGGCTGCCCCCGCCCCAGGCCCCGGTGCAGGGGGCTGAGGCTCACAGCAGCAGGCACATGAGGGCCCCTCCCGGCTCCCCTTCCAGGTCCTCCTGAGGTCCAGGGCAGCCCCAGGAGAAGCCTCGAGCCCCACTTCTGAGGTAGAGCTATTGGGCCCCCTGTGCTCCAGCGAGGAGTTGCTGCTGTAGTTCATCTCCAGGCTGCAGGTGGACAGTTGGTCCCCTGAGGGAGAAGCAGGGCCCAGCCACGGTTCTCCCCTCCCAGCACCATAACTGTGTGCTGCCGGAAGCTCCTCGGGCGGCAGGGAGCCCTCAAGGCAAATGGCAGGCCCCCGGCCAGAGTTGCCCGAGGCCCCCGCCTCGCTGGTACGGCAGGGGCTCCGGCTTCGGTAGATGAAGGGGTCATAGTCACTGCTGAGGGAGCTGCGGAAGGTGGAGCAGCTTCCGTACACACCCTGGTTGCTGACCTCAGTGCAGTCCACCACAGAGTCGCTAGAGGAGCAGTGGCACTGGCCAGAGCTGCTGCTGCTGCTGCTGTCACTGCCTGGGCAGTCGGCCAGGTAGCCACTGCACACTGAGCGGTGGCCATGGTAGCAGCTGAAGCTGGAAGTGCTGCCGCTCTCCAGGTGGGAAGGCGGGGCCACATGCACCACAGTGGGGAAGAGCAGGTTGCCGCTGCCGCTGCTGCTCACTGGAAAGGCACGGGACGGGCCCCTGGGCGTGAGGCTGGGCAGAGGCTGGCCCTCCTGCTCTGGGTAGCTGAGGCCCTGGAAGTAGTAGTGTTGGTACATGGTCTCATACTGGGAGAAGCAAGCTGCCTTGGAGAAGCTGCGGCCACTGAACTTGGGCCTGCGGAAGGGGTGGGCTGGGGAGTAGGCCCGGTGCTCCAGACTACAGCGGTGAGTGGCCAGGGCGTGATCCAGGTGCAGGGGTGGGTAGCTGCGGATGTAGGTGGGGGTCTGTGGAGAATAGAGGCTCTGCTCCCCATGCCGGTCCATGGTGAGCAGCGTGACGGGGTTCCCATGGGAGTCCATGCTTGTCCTTGTAGGGTAGGCTGGGATGGCATTGGTCCTGTGCACGCGGCCAGGGTAATGTACTGGCAGGGTCACCCTCTGCTGCCGACTGCGTGCAAGGTTGCTGGTCTCCACACACATGGCACCCGGGTTTCCCTTTTGTTCTGGGGAGAGGTGGAGGAAACAAGGTAAGCAGGGCTGAGCATACTGGTGACAGGGGCTAGAGAAGTTAAAAAAAAAAAAAAAAAAAACTGAAGCAGCAAGCTGGGCCACGTCCCAGTGCCTATTCTCACCACCCTGCCACATCCTAAGCTATCTCCAAACTCAGCTGTGCTGGCAGGGCCCAGCCTGCCTCCGTGTGGAAGGCAGTTAGTCCCATAAGGGCCTGTGTCTCTCCTCCCCACTGCTCCGTCTGACAAGGGCACCTGTCTACAGAAAGCAATAAGGACTCAGGATAAAAGTGCCTCCTTCCTGCCCCATAAGAGTGATGCAGGAGCAGCGTTGCAAACCTGCCACATTCATTATCTTTTGTGGTCCCTGGGAACACCCCTGTGGTCTGAGCACGGCAGCATCATTACTGTCATCCCACTGAGACTGGGGGCCTCAGGCTGGAGAGGCCACAGGCCTTGTCCAAGGTCAGGAAGCTATTTAATGTGAAGCCTAAACTTGAGCTTGGTGTGATTTTCTTGTGTGTGCTGAAGATGGAACCCAGGACCCTGAGCATGCTAGGCAAGTGCTCTACCACTGCCTGCATCCCCAGCCCCTTAGGGAGGTTCTTTTTTTAAATATATATATATATCTTTATTTATTTTTATGTGGTACTGAGGATCGAACCCAGTGCCTCACACATGTGAGGCGGGCACTCTACCACTGAGCTCCAGCTCCAGCCCCCTTCGGGTGGTTCTTAATGCCAAGCTTTTCTAAGGACTGTGTAGACAATCTCCAGAACCTAAGGCCACATGCCTCTAGTAAGAGGACAATGCTATGGTGGTCTTGCTTGCTCACTAGATTATGACATGTGTCATGCTCTTGCTAGGCACTAGGAAGGGACAGTGTTCTTTGACTTGACTCTTCACCAATGATTAAGGCAGGTGATAATTACCTATGATGTTGTGCCGACAGTGGGGGCAGGTGTGGTGCTGCAGCAGCCATGGGTCCACGCACTTCCTGTGAAACCGGTGAGTACAGGGGATGACCCGCAGCTCCTGGGAAGGGAGAGAGGGGACACAGCCTGAAGGGAGGACGTGGCGGGAGCAGCCTCGCCTTCTGCCTCACACATACTTGCTTCTGTGGAGTCTGGCATGGGCGGAGAACTCCTGCTCACTGTATTGGTACGTTCCTGCTTCAGTTTGGACCCTAACCTTCCCCAAAGGCCCATGTGTTAAAGGCTGATCCCCAACTTGGCACTACCAGGGGTGGGGCCTGGCATTGGTCTTTTGGTCATTGCAGGCATGTCTTTGAAGGGGATTTGGGGACTCCAATCTCCCCTATCTTGCACCCTGGCCATGAGGTGAGAAGTTCTGCTCGACCACAGCCTCCCATAAGGATGTGCTGCCTCGCCACAGAACCAAAGCAATGGGGACAACTGATCATGATCTGAAACCTCTGAAACTGAACCAAAATAAAGCTCTTCTAAGTTGATTCTATCAGGAAMCTGTGGCAGCAGTGGGCCTCTGACTAACATATTTCCCACTCTCCTCTGCCTCCAGCTACAGGTGAGCCCCACTCCCTAAAACAGAGCCCAGAAGGGGGTMTAGGGAGAAGAAAACTACCCCTCCCTCGGCCCGAGCCCTCAGAGTAGAGGGAGTGGATGTCCACAGAARCAGCTCCTTTCCTGGAGTTGGAGAGGATGTGAATATGAGGATATGAAGCCTGGGGTGTGAAAAGAGGGTCAGGAACACCCTAAGATATTATGCATCTGGAGTAGGAGGCATTGCCTCCAGGTACCCTAAGTGAGGATGATAGAAAGGGCGATGTCTAGGACTTGTGATTGACGGGGTGGGATGAAAGGTAGAGAGGGTGGTCCCTTCTGTCAGTGGACCCCAAACACTATCAGCCTATGTGGAGAGAACACGATGGGGGTTTTTACGGTGCAAAACCACCTCTGTGGTTCCTGAGCCTAAGCATCCTGCAAATCTGCCTTATCTGACCAAATTAATATCAAACCTTTGTGCCTGTCAGGGTGACAGAGGTCTACCTGTACTTTGATCTTTGTGGTCACCTAGAATGCTGGTCAGTCTCAGGCCCACCTCACAAGTGCAGGCACAGGGAATGAGGTCACTTGCTCAAGTTCACAAAACTAGAATCCGGAAACTGGGTTGGAACCCAGGCAGTCTCTACTCAGAGCCCATGCAGGAACCTGTCATTCCAAAGGACTCTGCAAAACTAAACTCATTGTCATCCAACAGGGGGGGACACTTTCATCAAAGGGGCATCAAATGTCAACAATTCAAGTGGTTTACTTGAAATTGCTCCRCATATATCTATCTATAGATAAAGCCACAGTGGCTAAATATTAGTGATGGGTGATTCTAGATGAATAATCTATGTCACTCATGTAATATTCTTATAACTTCTTTTTAAGATTTTTAACTTTCGGGCTGGGGTTGTGGCTCAGTGGTACAGTATTCGCCTAGCACATGCGAGGCCCTGGGTTCAATCCTCAGCACCACATAAAAGTAAATAAAATAAAATAAAGGTATTGTGTCCAACTACAATTAAAAAAAAAAAAGATTTGTAACTTTCGAAAAAGAGCTGCAAGGAAAAGCAAAAAAGGGACAAGTTCCTTGTCTCTTTCCAAGTAAAAAACACCATATCAAGTATTAATAAATTTTAGAAGAATGATTCTGAAACAGAGCCAGCATGTGTGAATGTGTTTTTTTTTTTTTTTTTTTTTTTGGTGTGTGTGTGTGTGTATTAGTTACTGGGAATCAAACTCAAGGTCTTAAACATTCTAGGCAAGTGTTCCACCAGAGTCACATCCTTAGCCCGTGTGAATATTCTTAAAACTAGACATTTTCTGTCCTACCATATGTTTCTGATCAATTTCTGAAATCACTTACATCTAGCTGGACCCTGTGGGGAGTGTTGTGTCCTCCCCAGTCCTGGTGAGCATCATCCCTTAGAAACCTCTGTGTTGACCCCTTTTAGGGTGTGGGGAAGACTGTGGCCCGAGTGTCTATGTTGATCTGCCACCTTCTCTCCACCCAATACAGGCCCTGCCTCTGCCACTACCTCTCCGTCGATGTACTTCTCCAGGCAGATGGCACAGTCGGACGTGGAGCTGCTGCTGAGAGTGTCCAAGGCCCCRCAGCTTCCCTCCCGGCGCCCCTTGCTCTTGGAGTTGAACTTTCTAGTTTCCATCTTCTCCAGAGCCTGCACAGCCAGCCTGTTCATGGAATTCTGCAAGGCAGAACAGGGTCAGTATTAAGAATCTGGTACATATTAACAGTGGTAATTATCCTTGGGGCCTGGTACCTGATGTACTGGGACAGTCGCTATCAGGCCAGAACAGATTTTTTTTTTTCTTTTTCCCTTTGGTCCTGGAGATTTAACCTAGGGGCATGTAAACACTGAGCYGCACCTCCGGCCCGTTTTATTTTGAGACAGGGCCTCACTAAGTTGCTTAGAACCTTGCTCAGTTGTGGAGGCTGGTCTTGAACTTGCAATCCTCCTGTTTTAGCTTCCCGAGCTACTGGGATTATAGGTGTGCACCACTGAGCCCGGCTGCCAGACAGATTTTTGAGAAACTTAAAACTCAGACGGCCATGGTAAATATTTTCCAGACCCCTGGAGTATCCATGATATCAGCCCAGGCTGTACTCGAGTGGCCCTGGTAGCCGAGGTCTTGCCATAGCCCCGCTGCTTCCCAATTCAGTGAGACTGCTTTACACTCCTTGTCTACAGTGGAGGAAGCTGTGAGGGTGAGGCAATGCATGAGTCTTGGCACAGACACAGGATGTGCTCAGTAAACATCAGCCCCTGTGGTCGGTGGTGGCCCTCACCCCTTGTGAGAACTTGGTGCGTCTCCTTGACGGACTTCTGCCAGCTGTGGCACCGTCTGYCTCTCAAGATGTTACACCGCTACATCTGAGAGTCTAGATTCCTGCTGGTCCTCTCACCACTCTACCCCTAAATCTTCCTTTCCTATAAGCACATAGTGACATGCTGGCTGGAGAATCACCAGGAGAGTCTGGTAGATGCGGATATGGACTCGGCAGGCCGAGGGCCTGGGACTCTGTATTTCTAGTAAGCACTCGGGCCGCTGGTGCCAGATCTGCTTGAGAAGCCAAATTCAAGGATTCCATAAGTACATTTAAACATTTCCTTTGAAAAACTAGCTGGAAATGTCCCCAGGGCTGGGCCTTTGCCCCTTTTGGAACAGTAAAGGCATAGTGCTGGGGAGCACTGGGAGTTTGGACGCCCAAAACAGTAGGCTGATGAGAGCCCTGACTTTCACCAGCAACAGAGTAATGGGGTCAGTGTTCTGGGACTGCTCTGGGGGATTACCTGACTACGTCGCTGCTTCAGCTTGATTTTGACAAGGAGGATGAGGCAGACCAAGGAGACCACGACAAAGAAAGCCAGGAAGATGCCCATGTCAAAGTACTCGGTGGGTTGCTTGAACAGAAGACAAAGACGGTCAGTCAGACACCATTCAGCCAGTAACAGGCACAGGGGGTGCGTGTTCCCACTGTGTACAGGAAGCTCCTGAGGTTCTGTTCACGTCACACGGTGCACTCAGTGTGGCTGGGGGAGGCCTGTAGCCCTCAGGCCTCCCCATAGCCAAGTGAACTCTATTCGTTAAGCCTGGTACCACTGGAATAGTGCAAAGTTTGATGTAACCATTAAGAAAAGCTCTTCCAAATAAATACAAATAATCACATTTAGAGGACAAAGGAGTGAGTGTCATGTTTTGAGGGAACAGTGATTACTAACCATATAATTAACGGTTTACAACAACTCAGAAAATTGTATGCTGCTTCCACAAATATCAGCTTCCACTACAATGAGTCATATTTACCAAAGCATTCTTTTTTCCTTTAAAAAGAAGCCAGCAAGTCAGTTCTGCAAATTCCCTCTAGTTTTAGTTCTAACCTTTTCCTCACGGCACACTCCCCAACCGCTTGAAGCCACCTCACCTCGGACATACATTTAACCAAGGAGAGCASAGTTGTCCTAACAGGATATTGTACGTATCATCCCACGTGTGAGGAAGAAACCCGGGGTACTAGCCCCAGGCTCCTATTATCCTTCAGCCTGAGGTTGTACAAAACATGCCAGGCCAGCGTTAATAGCCATTAGTGTCTCTTCAACACACTKAAGAGAAGACTAAATGCTGTGTAAGTCAAGCCCAGTCGGAAGCTTATCTTTCCCAGACTCATCTGTGAGTCAGGGAGTTTGTGTTTTTTTGGGGGATGGGTGGGGGGTACTGAGGACTGAACTCAGGGGCCCTCAACCACTGAGCCACATCCCCAGCCCTATTTTGTATTTTATTTAGAGACAGGGTCTCACTGAGTTGCTTAGGGCCTCCCTTTTGTTGAGGCTGGCTTTGAACTGGTGATCCTCCTGGCTCAGCCTCCCAAGCTGCTGGGATGACAGACGTGTGCCACCACRCTGGGCTTGAGTTGGGGAATTTGAAGAAAGTAATTTACCCCATGGAAAAAAGGACATACAGGCCTTTTCTCTAGTGTCTGGGTCAAATGAAAGGAGGGCGACACAGGAACCCAAGTGCTGGGCATTCCACCTTCATTCTCCTTCCCGTGGCTCCCAGAGGCAGGCGCCATGTGAGAGAGAGAGAAGGAAGGATGAGAGGGAATACCAGGCAGGGAGAGCACAATTTTCTTAGCACAAGCCATCTATTTCTGGTAAGTTTTTTCAACTTCTTGAAAAGGAAGATGGGTGAAATATTTTCCTGGCATCCTAGAGCTGATCTTGACCTGCAGGAGCCTGGGGTATGCCGGTATTTTAAAGAAACAACAGGAATGAAAGCATCAGCCCAAAGGAAACAAAGATACAGAGAGCAGCCGACAAGTCATGTGTGGACACTCACTCGAGGAGGGCGGTGTTGGATCCTTGCTCGGGCCACTTTCTGCTTGTTAACAATGTTCATCAGCTTGAGAGCATCGGCGCCCTTCACGTACACCACTGGTCTTTTGAGTGGGTCTTCTGAGCCTTGGTTTAGCTGAGAAGCAGAGAGCCCTCGTTAGAAGATGGGCTGACTTTAAGAAGAGAGGACTAAGGACACAGCTCAGTGGAAGAGAGCTTGCTTAGCCTGTGCAGGGCCCTGGGCTCAATAAAAATAAAATAGCAAGAGAAAGGGGCTGGAAATCTGTATCTGGAAATCCTTGAAATCGTGAGGCAAGACAGCCTCGGGGTCCCCAAAAGGGCCGCTAAGGCTGATGGTTGTTGTAAGATGGGCTAGCCAGGCTGCCGGCCCAGAGGAGTCTTTGAAAATGTTTTGCACCCCAACTCCCTGGCTCTTCACCCCTCTCAATACGCCTCCCCCAGGTAGGATGTCCAAATGCAGACAACTTACTTCAGCAGACAAGTTCACTAAAGGAAGTGCCTCTCTCAGGGAGATTTCAGGGTTGGTGTGGCGCGAGTTTACCTGGTCGATGGCTTCTGGGTTTTCAGACACATCAAAGATGACTGCAGTAGCTCCCCGCTGCACTGCTCGCTTGGCCTGGCAAAGGGAAAAAGAACAGGTTGGCAACTCTGGTCCTCTGACCTCACCAATGCTGACCTTGGACATTAGGCCTGCATGTGAAAGCAGACTGACAATAACCAACTTGTGTGGCTCTGAGCAAGTTACTCAGCTTTCTTAAACTTCAACTCTCTCATCTCTAAAATGGGACAATGCCACCTACTTGGTACGCATATCCTAAGAACCAGGTGACTTACAGGTAACTGGGTACTTGATAAGCCTGGCTCCTCAACCACCCCTAACATTAACAACGAACTGTAGATCAACAGACACACTGATATCAGTGTTTCCTCTGGTGAACACTGAGCCTTCAGCAACCAAGGCAAACACCTTTGGTCCATCTCTGTGGTCCTTTTCTTTCCTCCCACGTCACCTAGTTGGAACAGCATGTTGATTATTTCTGAATGAATCTCAGAATGGTCACTTTTAATCAGTGACACAAGCTGAAGACCTCTGGAGACACTGTGTTGGGGGGAAGCTATGAGAAATAATTGTACATGGGGATTTAGAGCAGTTGGCTGCCAAACCTGGCTGCACATCAAAAACCACTTGGGAAGTTTGTAAAGCAGATTTCCTGGCTCAAACCACAGAGACTGATTCAGCAGGGCTGGAGTCAGGCCCAGGAAACTGAGTTCTATAAGCTTTCTGAGGGATTCGTATGATTCAACTACTTAGGGAACTACAGATCAGAGCGATGAGATTAGAAGGTTCAGAAACAAATGAGAAGTGAAGGGATTCTTTTTTTGAAGGGGGGTGTGGTAGTGGGGAAAGGATTCCTTTCCATCCCAATGAACCTTCTAATTTCACATCCAGCCAAGTGGACAACAGGGCAGAAGCTGTGGAAGAAGTAGACTATAAGACTTTTACTTTTAGGAGTCTGAATCTTGTTAAGGAAGTGACTCCTCTAAAAAAATGTGGGGGAAAAACAAAACAAAAACAAGACTGCTATATGCTATTAGACAGGCAAGTGATGGAAAGTGTTCAGAGGTCAATACAGGCACCAAAGGCCCGAGTGCTTGAGAAAGAATAAAATCKGAATTCCTTCCATAGGAATAATGGCTCTATATTGACGTGGCTAGTCTAATGACTCCACTGGACCACTAGAGGGCAGCCTCATCCCACAGCTTTTAAACCAATTTACTGCACTTGGTACCAAAAAGCAGGACCAAAAATCTCTTCAGTGGTTCTCCTGGGCAAGGCATGTTCTTCAGCAGTTTAAGAAGCTCTGGCAACCTAGTTGCTGTGCTGCAGAATCTGTCTCTGTTCTGCAGGAGACTCTCTCTCTCTTTTTTTTTTTTTTATTTTTTGCAGTACCGGGACTGAACTCAGGAGTGCTTTACCATTGAGCTATATCCCCCGTTTTTTTGAGACAGGGTCTCACTAAATTGTCCAGGCTACCCTCAAACTTGTAATCTTCCTGTCTCAGCCTCCCAAATAGCCAGAATTACATGTATGTGCCACTGCACCCAGCTCTTCTTTAAAAAATTGAGGTGGAATATATTAAAAGTCTTGCCTCTGGTCTGGTCCACCCCACCCTGTTTTACAATGGAGTTCTGCACTAGAAATCAGGAGTGAATCAATACTGGGGGCTATTCCCAAGCAAGTTACAGAATCTCTTTCAGCATGTCTCAGTTTCCTTGTCTGTCAAAGGAGGTGGATGCCCATGTAATTATAACCAGGGTCCCTTTGAGTTCTCAGTCTTGGCCATTCAACAGAGAATCCAGAGTAACTCAGAACAGCAGTGTCATGTCCTCCAGCAAGAGGACATGGGTGGCAGAATTAAGAAAATATAAGGCAAGGTAGCATCAATTTCCTAGTTTGGAGCCTAGTTTGAACAGTGAAGAGGGTGGGTGGCAAATAAGGTGCTTCCATTCCACTTACAGCCCGATTTCAGATACAGCTCAACCAGCTCATACACAGGAGCCAAGGACAAACGCCATGTTTTAGAAAATACTTAATTCTCATAGTTTACTTTTAAAGTTATATTTAATGCAGACTATTAAAACGTTTATGGGGCTGGGGATGTGGCTCAAGCGGTATCGCGCTCGCCTGGCATGCGTGCGGCCCGGGTTCGATCCTCAACACCACATACCAACAAAGATGTTGTGTCCGCCGAGAACTAAAAAATAAATATTAAAAATTAAAAAAAAAAAGTTTATATTTCCTGCATGTACCAGGACTGGACAGGAAGGGAGTTAGCTCAGAACCCTACTGGAAACCTGCCTGTCAAGAGCCAGCTTAGGATTTAAAATAGGCTGTGAATAACCCATACTTAAAAAAAGTATTCTTTATTATAATTTCCCCAAAGCAAATTTAAAAAGTACACAATACTTCTTGGTCACACTTTCCCTTTGTTCATTTTTAGTTAAAAAACTTGATGAGGCAAATTTCTTGAGTCKATCTTCATACCTTAGAGCATCTCCCATTTTACCAAGTCAATCTTGAGCCAGGATATTATTTCAAAATAAACCTAACCCTAGTTGGGAGATTGTCCATATTGTGACTACTACAAACCCAGTCTCCACAGTGCCACACACTCAGTGTCCAAAACTCTCGAGGCTACTTGAAAGAAAGGATGCAGCCTGTGTGGATATGGCTAGATTAAGGTCACTGTTCGCTGGTCCAGAAGGCAGTTACCCCTAAAAACTGCAGAGACTGGAGTGGAAGGGAGAGTAAGAGAAGGCTGTGACAGCAGAAAAAAGGTGTGACATTTTGGCAGGCACAAGAAGAGTTCTTGCCTTGATGACCTCTGTATACCCTTCCCACAGAGGGAATCTTCAAATCCTTTATCACCTATGCTGCTTTGATCCTCACTGCAGGCCCCACCTGTCAGCAGGTGACTGGAAGCCCAGCAGGCAGAATGCTAAATAAAAGGTTGTCCTGGTCCTTATTTACCCTTTCCAGGGTTGCAGAACCCAAGGTAGACAACGTCTGCAGCCACTGACAGCAAATGGCAATATCTGCACACAGATCCATTTTGAAAAGCATAAAATTTGAACCCTTACAAGAGGGGGGCCTACTGTGGTTGGCACTTATTGTTCCTATGGTAACTCAATTAACATTTATTAAAACTGAAAGACAGCCAGATGGGATCATACTCTTGATTGCCATTAAAAAAAAAAAAAAGTGTTCCCCGACCATGGATGTGGTTTCCCGTCAGGAGGTCTATAGTGTCCCAATGCCAAGGGTATTCTGATTAGAAAGGTCCCATGACCTTTCTCATAAACATAGAGTCTAGAGGCCAGCACTKCTCAGAAATCCTACTTAGGGGAGGCTGAGGCAGGAGGATCATGAGTTCAAAGCCAGCCTCAGCAACAGTAAAATGCTGAGCAACTCAGCGATACTCTATCTCGAAATAAAATACAAAATAGGGGCTGGGGATGTGGTTCAGTGCCCCCAAGTTCAATCCCTAGTACCCCCACACCCCAAAAAAGAAAAGGAAAAAAAGAAATTCCAATCAGGAATAGATCTCATGTCCCCCTTCCCACCATGTATAGTTACACTCAGACTGGTTTGGGGCTTGGACCCATAGAATCCGTGCTCCCTGGAGTCTCCTGTTTGCCTATTCCTTTGCCAAACACTTGGGTGTGGTGTCCCCAATGCCTAAACTCTCATTGTGGGAAACCAGACAGAAGATAATCTTAATCCAAATGATGATAGAAAATCTCTTTTGTCCCAAATTCCTAATCATAGGATAACCAAGGAAGCTTGGATTCTCAGAGATGACATGGGCTCTTTTGGAAAGTTCCACATATAGGGGCTCCAAACAAGCTTTTCTTTTTTTTTTTTTTTTTGCATTTCACTTTTTCTAAATACTTATCATAAGCTTTCAATGAGTCATTAAAAATCTTATTTTTTTTTCCTCCCCCTGTGCAAGTCAGGGCGTAGAACCCAGGATCCACATGCATCATAGGCAAGTGCTCTACCACTGAGCTATATCCCCAGCACTGCTATCACCCTTCTTGTGGTAGCTTTTAAATATAATACTGTGGTTTACATCCTTCCATGTTCTCCTTTAACCCATGCATTAGTAAGAATAAAATTAAGGGGGCTGGGGTTGTGGCTCAGTGGTAGAGTGCTCACCTTGCATGTGCGGGACCCTGGGTTCGATCTTTAGCACCACATAAAAATAAATAAGTGAAATAAAGGTATTGTGTCCAACTACAACTAAAAA